GTCGTGGTGGTCGTGGTCGTCGTGGTCGTCGTCGTCGTAGTCGTAATAGTAGTAGTAGTAGTAGTAGTAGTACTAGTAGTAGTAGTAGTAGTAGGAGGAGGAATAAGCATAGTAGTAGTGGTAGTGAAATGAAAAGCTAGTACTAGTAGTGGTGGTAGATATAGTAGTAGTGGTAGGTAGGTAGTGGTAGTGGTAGTGGTAGTGGTAATGGTAGGTAGTAGTGGTAGTGGTAGTAGTAGTGGTTAAAAAAAAGTAGTAGTGGTAGGGGAGTGGTAGTGGTAGTGGTAGTAGTGGTGTTGTTGTTGTTGTTGGTGGTGGTGGTGGTGGTGGCGGCGGCGGCGGCGGCAGTGGCGGTGCTGGTGGGTGCTGTGCTGGTTCTGGTGCTGATGCTGGTGCTGATGCTGGTGGTGCCGACGGTGACGGCGGCGGCAGCGGTGGTGGTGGTGGTGGTGGTGGTGGTGGGGGCGGCAGCGGTTGTGGTGTTGGTGACGGTGGCTGCGGTGGGGTGTGGTGGGGTGGTGGGTGTGGCGGGGGGGTTGTGGGGGCCGGGTGTCGGCGCTGGCGGTAGTGGTGGCCGGGGTGGTGGTGTTGGCAGCGGTGGTGGGGACGTGGTGGTCATATGGTGGTCGTTTTGGTCGTGGTGGTAATCGTAGTCTTATTGGTCATCATGGACTGGGTCCCTGCTCTGCACTAAATAAAAGCTAAGTTTCCATTGCAAGGAAACCCTCTTATTCAATGTGGAATGGGATACTCAATTTAAGCTTCTTAGCAGCAACACCCGCATGCTATGCTCAAGGCTTCTCGGATTTCTTGCTAGCCAGATGGCTGCGGGGCAGAAACTTATTCTGTTGCCATAGGCGTTGATAATCAAATTCCTAGGTTGCTGATGAGGATCTTAAAGCCAAGTCAACATGGTAAGCAGGCCCTGTCATCTACCCTGTACTCATGCTGCGGAAACTCACTTTGAATGGCAGAACTGCCATAAGTAGAATTGAAAGCTGGAATCTTGGATTGACGAGGAAAGATGCAAGGCTATCTAGAACTGTGGCAAGTCGCAGTCTGAACAAGGATGGTCGTTGTGGGGAGCAGAAAGAATTCTGATGTGTACTCATGTGCCGCACGAAGCTCTGTGATGTGCAATATGGGGTTTTCCAAAATTAGGGGTACCTTTCTTGGGGTCCCTATAGTAAGGGTTATAATATATTGGTGTCTATGTTGGGGTAGCCTAATTTTGGCAAACTACCACATGAGGGGAAGCCATTATGTTGAGCAAGGCGGAGTTAAGTTTCTTGCAGCCACCACATCACGAGCCAAAGCCCTAACCGCTCTACTGTAATGTTATTGTAATGTAAACACCTGAGTTGGGGGTTACCTACTGGTGCGAGACGCGGAGTGGGGGGGTGGATTAACCATTACTATATAGAAGGTGATATGGGGATTATGTAGGCAAGGGGGGAGGCCAATCTTTGTCAGCGGACGCCCCGCGAGTTTCGATTGTCGGTGACTAACAGTTAACATGGCGTAACCTGGCGTCCCCATTTCGCCCGCCCAAGGCAGCTGAAACCTGAAAACAGACCTATGTGGCCCCGAGCAGTCCGTTAAACAACCTTACACAACACACATAAAGATTCAAGTGCCATGCAGCTGCTGCAGACCTCTATGCCCCCGGCTGACAAGTCACCAGTACTCTCGATACAGCAAGAAGATGGCCTCATCTGAACAGATCACGATGCGAGTAATTAGGGGTTTGGGTCAACTTCCATCGGTGCTGACTGTCTATGAGTGCAGGTACCAGTAAACACCGAACGATTCATGTGCGTTTCAGGAAAGAACGGTCAAGCCAAATTAAAAGCCGTTGCTGCATTGGGCCTAGGGCCTAGGATGTACGGCTGACATTGAGGAAGCTTGAGGAGGCATCCCCGGCGCGATCTAGAGTCATAGGCCTTTGCTGCCGGAACCTGAATAATTGAACTTGGTTTCGGCTTTCATGGACAGTATGACGTAGCATGCTTACGAATGGACAGAATGAGGAAATATTGAACATCAGTATTCAGGCTTCTGTTGCACCTGCACCTCTTGGAGTCCCACAGACGAAGCTCTAAATCCCTTTTAATTTCTATTTTGGGGATCCCAATTATCGGGATGTCGCGGGCATCCCTAAAACTTGAAGGCAGAGAAGGCTGTTCCAGGATGCAAAAGCGATTTGAGATGCAGGATTCAGGTTTAGGGCTGAAGGCCATTGCGTGGAGAAAGAAACCTGGCACGATCACGACAGCTGGGCTGAAGGTGCTCCATGAAACCCTAAGGATCCAAATAGCGGAATGTATAGTATATTGGGCAAATATGGGGATAACGGAACAGAAAATGGAAACTACTATAGTAGGTAAGTATAAGGATCCAAATAGCGTAATGTAGGAACCCTAACAATGGAGAATCAAATGGAAAAGCAAATGGACAATGAAATGGACACTAGGGGTTTATAGGGGTGTATAAGGATCCAAATAGCGCAACGCAGGTAATATTTACAGACTTTAGGGCCCAATGTAGGTATTATTTGTATACTTGGATCCCTCGAGAAAGTGTTGCGCCCACGCTTCCTGTGTATAACGAGCCTAAGACAATGCCTTCCCTCTGGGTTAGCACGCACACACAGACTTGATCAATTATTCTTTGTTTCCAGAACAGAAGTCAAACACAGTACGTAAGACGCCCAGGTGAGCCACGGGAGGGCTGTTCGAAGATTACCGTCAAGGCCCAAGATCCGTAAACCCTAAACCCTTAAACCGCACCGACATGCAGAAGTACAGTTGCGAGGACAACAGGGACTCAATCCCCAACTGATGCCGGAGCGTGTCAGGGCTGCTTCTGCTAGGAAGGACCCCCTGGAGGCTGGAAGTATCTAATTGAGGGCTTCCCAGAATTAGGGGTACCATTTTGGGGATCCCTATATTCAGGATTAGAATATTTTGAGGTAAACTGGAATGCCCCCTGTTTTGGGAAACTACCAATTCCAGTTTGCAAGACCTCTTGCTGTGAACTATGACACCAACTTGCCTCTATTCGGTAGTTTGCCAAAATTAGGGGTAGCATGCTGGGGGTCCCCATACAAAGGATAATTATTAGCATTGTGGAGTCTATATTCGGTCCTAGTATTTTGAGAAACAACCATGTCGAACCCCCGACAAGGCTGAGTCCAGCACCACCGGGCCTATACCAATGATGTGAAACGTGATTCCTGTATTTCCATAGAGAAGTCTTGCAAGCAGAAGTTGAACAGGGTCTTGCATCGAACTCCTTTGTCCACATTCTCTCCCTGAGAAAGAAAATGAGCTGCTACATGGGCACCGGAAAAAAACTCCTACAACACTTCCCTTGAAAGGCTCCGGCTCAAGATCCCCTGGTAGCGCCAACCTTAACATCAGCCTTTATATCGTAATTTGTCAACCACAGATACCAAATCCTCAACCGTAAACTTCCATCACCAGACGAGAGTCGTATGCCGACCGGGAAAGTGGACTGGGTGACCCTGGGTGCACAGAATAGCATGAGTCATGAGTCATCGACCAGAAGCCCAAAGATGCAGGCTTGGTACATCTACATATACATAGAGGAGAGAGGAGAGAAAGAGAGAGAGAGAGAGAGCTAGAGAGAAAAGAAAGAGATAGATGTAATGATGAATGATGGCTACGCTTACTATTCTCCTTCTTCTACTGCTGCCACTACCACTATCATTATGACAGCTACTGACAACAAAATAGTAATACTTAAGAATGATACCCTTAACGGGGTTGAGGCTCAGCCGCCTTAGATGGCCCGTGAGGAACATACCCTGCAGGGTATGTTCCCTGATGAAACGCGTAGGTGTTTGGGAAAATAAAAAAGCCCCCAACTCTCTGTATGCATTCTTTGTCAGGAAAAACGCTCAGCGCTTCTTCTTCGTATTCTACCATATATCCAAATCTAATTATCCTGCCTAATTCTCGCCAACATGTGACGGTGAGACTGGGACAAGGACCCCCGATCAAACACCATCACTCATGTATCAGCTACCCCATAGCCTGCCCTCTATGTACAACCCAAGCTCACATCAAGAGAGAATGAAAACACCAATCGAATCCGATGGGGATGCACCAGTCGTGGGAAGACCTTAAACTCAAATCCCTACTCACAACCCTCAATCCTTGCGCAGGGAAGTGATCCTTGGAGGGGATGGAACCTTGTAGCCTGAAGCCCACAATGGCCTTTCAAAACCCGAAGACCTAAACCCTGAACCCCAAACCATATAGACCCTAAACTCTAAACCCGAGACCCTAAACCCTAGACCCTCCTGAACCCTGAACCTTAAACCCTAGACTAGACCCTCAACCCTATGGCAGGCTTTACATCAAGAGAGATCCTCAGGACCGAGCCTAGAACTTTATCAGGAA